TGCTCTGTGCATGACAGGGGCGGCGCCCCAACTCCCAATCGGCCCTGCTCTGAGCCCAACCAGGGGCTGTACCTAGGGATTGGGCCTGCCCTCTGCCACCCAGGAGCAGGCCTAAGCCAGCAGGTCGTTATCTCCCAAGGGGTCCCAGACTGCGAGAGGGCACAGGCCGGGCTGAGGGACCCCTCCTTCCCCCTGAGTGCACAAATTTTTGTGCACCGGGCCTCTAGTGAATAATAATAAAAAAAAAATCTGATGAGGACCAGGGCATTTACATAGCATCAAAGGATCTCTTCAGTAACACTGATTTTGAAGAGAAAAAGAGTAACTTTATGGTGGAGAAGCCTGGCAGACACCACTTTAAGCACTCAAGGTTAATGTGAAATTTAATTGGACCAATCAAAATCATGTGCCATCTGATAGGTTGTAATGAGAACACAGAATCATTTCTATGATATTACTGCCAAAGATGTATAACCTGGACCTAATTTTGAGGAAACATGAGACAAACCCAAGTGACAGGATATTATACAAAATAATTGGGCTGTAATCTTTAAAAGTGTCAGGATCATGAAAGTTAAGGAAAACTGAGGAACTGTTCCTTCCGAGGTAAACCTGGCAATGAATGAACTGGATCCCTGCACAATCACAGATATTATGTAGACAACGGGCAAAGCTTGAATGAGGTTTGAGTATAAGAAGACAGTAACCTATTTCCCAATTTTGAGGGTTGCCTGGTGGTTATGGAGGAAAATGTGCTTACGTGTAGGAAATCCACAGTAACATATTCAGGTGGGACAGCAACTTATCTCAAGTTTGCTATCAACCCAAAACAAAGTTTTGAAACTCTAATTGTTAGCACTTTTTATAACTTGAGGCTTTCTTCACTATCCATTTGTCTTCTTTCAGGCGTCACATTTTGCTTGAAACTATCCAGTAAGTTCATATCTTGCCCTGAGTACCAGCTAATGTCTCTTCAATGGTGTATAAGACCCAGTGATACACTAGAGCCACGTGTGAAAGTTGCAGGCATTTTGAAAACCAGTTGACCTCACTTTGACAGCTTTGGCATCATCCATAGTGAAAGTATTTACACCGCAGAAATCAGTAAATGCTGCAAATTGGGAGGTTTTTGTTTGGTTGGTTGCTTTGTTTTCCTGGAGTGCAGGTTGCTAAATACTCACCAGCACACCACTCATTGTCTGACCCTTTATTATGTGCTCCACCAGCCCACCCACACCTCTATGAACTAAGCACCCCTTCATACTCAGAGGAAAACAGTCTTCTACCAGGTATCCCATAGTTCCAAACCATACTTCTTTCAGTTTATTACTCAAATCTTGTTTTTGCCTTTGGAATAACAATTTGTCGTTTGTTTTACCTATTCCTTTTTCTGTTGTATTTTTTTTCCAGGTGCTTATCTGTATTCAATATAATGTGTATTTTGTTTATTTTGTGTGTGTTTTTCTGCCTAATTCTCACCCACAGCCACCATTAGACTGTAAATTCAATGAGAATAAATATTTTTGTCTTTGTTCTTTTTTTTTTTAATATATTTTATTGATTTTTCACAGAGAGGAAGGGAGAGAGCTAGAGAGCTAGAAACATTGATGAGAAACATCGATCAAATGCCTCCTGCACATCTCCCACTGGGGATGTGCCCGCAACCCAGGTACATGCCCCCGACCGGAATCGAACCTGGGACCCCTCAGTCCGCAGGCCAACGCTCTATCCACTAAGCCAAACTGGTTTCGGCAGTCTTTGTTCTTATTACTGTTCACAGCTGTATACCCATACTTAGAATCTGAGGTTTTGGCAGTAGAATAGGAATTCAGTAAATATCTGTGGATTGAATAAATGAATGGCTTAGGTTTATCCCAGGAATACTAAGATGGCTTGACATAAATAGATTTTTCTAATGCAATTCACAGATGTAAAGATCAAAGCAAAAAATATGATCGTCACAATACACGCAGAAATAATTACAGATAATATAATATCTATTCATGATTAAAAACCTTAAACTAGGCCCTGGCTGGGTAGCTCAGTTGGTTAGAGGATTGTCCTGATACACCAGGGTTGTGGGTTCAATCCCTGGTCAGGGAGCATATAAGAGTCAATTATTGAATGCATAAATAAATGGAACAACAAATTGATGTCTCTCAAAAAAAATCAATAAATTAAAACACACACACACCCTTAAACTAGAAGAAGAACTATGCAATCTATCAAACAGGTTAGCCAAAAATCAACTTCATCATACCTAAAGATTAAATACTACAAGCATTTGTTTTAAGATTAGGTACAAGAATAAAATTCAATCATATCATGTACATTAACTGTAAAATGTGCAGACTAAAAATTCTAATTAATTGTATAAATTGTCAGAATGAATTTTAAAAAACTTCACCCAGTGTGCTATAAAAATTTTATATATAAAGATGGATTGAGAGTAAAAGTGTAAAAAAGGACATACCATGCAAACAGTATAGTCAACTGATTTCTGAAAAGACACTGAGTTAATTCAATGGGAGAAATGACAGTCTTTTTAACTAATGGTGATAAAACAACTGGATATCCTTACAGAAAAAAAAAAAAAAGGACTTGACCATGCCTTACTCCAAACACAAAAATGAATTTACCATATTCACAGACCTAAATGTAAAAGCTTAAACTATGTTAACTCCTAAAATATAAACATAGGAAAATAAATCTTTACAAGCCTAAGGTAGACAAAGATTTCTTAAGATACAAAAACACTAATCATTAAGGAAAAATGCAATAAACTGGATTTCATTATAATTAAAAATTTCTGTTCATCAAAAAACACTATTAAGAAAATGAAAAGGTAAGTTACACACAGAGAGAAAATATTTAGATACTCACAAGGCATAAATGAAAAAAAGCATTTTTCCAGACTATATAAAGAACTTTTCAAATTCAATAATAAGGCAAACAACCGGATTTTTTAATGCCAAAACATTATAAGATACCTTACTAAGAAACATATGTGAATAACCAAAGAACAAATAAAAGGTACTCAACATTATTAGTCAAGGAAATGCAAATTAAAATGACAATGAGATACCACTTTATATCACTATATTGACTACAATCAAAAAGCCTTACAACACTAAATGCAGATGAGAATGTGAAGCAATTGGAACTCTCATTTTTTTTTTTCTGGTGAGAGTGTAAAATGGTACAACTACTTTGGAGGTTGTTTGGCAATTTCTCATAAAGTGAAGGCCACATCTGCCCTATGACCCATCAATTCCACTCTTAGGTAATTACCTATGAGAAAGGAAAATGCATGTCCACAAAAAGACTTATACAACAATGTGTGGCAGCTTTATCCATAATAAGCAAACTCTAGAACAGAAGTGGGAAACGATGTCCTGCAGGCCGTATAAGGCCGTATAAGGCCTAAGTCGTTTGGTCTGGTCCTGCCAAGGTATTAGGGGCTACTTAGTTAAATGTTTGACCAAATATAACAGGCTAATGTTTAAGTTGATAATTTTGTATGGCCCACAAATGATGTGTTAAGTATCCCAATAGCCCTTGGCAGAAAAAAAGTTTCCCTACCCTGCTCTAAAACACACAAAATTCTCCAGCAACCGGAGAATGAATAAATGAACTGTCATATGTTCATTCAGTGGAAAACTACTCAGCAGGAAAAAAGAATTGGATTATTTACGTATTCAATGGCAGGGATGAAACATGAATCTCAGAAATACTGTTGAAGGAAAGCAGCCAGAAACAACAACAACAAAGTGAGCAATGGCAAAACCAATCTTTGTTGAATGAAATCAGAACACTGGTTGCTTTTAGAGTAGAGGGAATTGATTAGTGATAAAGCTCAATGGTCAAAGACCACCCGGGGACAAACCAGCAGTCCAGCAGTTAGGTTTCTGAACTTGCTTAAACAAGGGAGAGTAATCCAGGACAACCCTGAAGAAAGCAGCGAGGTTGTTTTGTTTTGTGTAAGGTTTGGGTCCCTAATTACCCTACAAAGTGAAATGGAATTGGAGATACTTATCTGATTTGAGAGACAGAAAGAAGAGAAGTCAATATCGCCGTTTTACAACTGAAAAAAATTCAGACTAACTAGAATTCTACCTTTGTGAAGAAGCTAGGATTTGAATTCAGTTCTCCTGCCGAATCCAAAACTGCCACACAGACACCCGGCTGACTTAAGGAAAAGAGGTAAAGCTAAGCACCAATCTACCTCACAGTGGCATTGTGTAATAAAATTTTTAGGATTTTAATATCGAATTTGCTGTTTTTGAAACAGTGGGCACAGGAGAAAGAATCACATACTACAAAACAAAACAAAAAGGAGAACACTTTTTCTAACAGTTTCGTATTCATGTAGCGGAAAAGAAAAAAGAAAAAAAGAAGTTAAACGGTTTGCAGACTTCCCAGTGGAACTCGTAATGTGAATAAAAGAATGAACTGTAGTGAGCATACCACCTTTGTTAGTCACTCACTAAACACACGTTTTAAATGACTGTATCAGTTTCTCTGCATAGCACAGTTTGGGGAGGAAAAAAAAACCACCCGACTTTATTTATAAAACAGGAAACTCACTTTGGAACTGATCCTACAATGAAGATCCTTTAATGAGTCAGACAGGCATTTTGGGGCACCGTTTCCTTGGAAACGCCGGGCACCGCCGACGATGTTTTTTACATCCGTGCTCCTCAAACGTGAACGTGCAACTGAATGGGGGAAGCACGTCAAATGCAAGTTCTGATTCAGCAGGTCTGTTGTGGACTGAGGCTGCATTTCTCAGAAGCTCCCAGGTGATGCCGAGATGGCAGAAGGGCTGGGGGGCTATAGGAGAGGGAGCACTCTACTCTGAGTAATCAAGAGAGCTCTAAGCAGCTGGAAAGAAGAAATTCAAAAACACACCCTCCCCAGGGAGGCGGAGACTTGCCGGGTAGCATAGAGGCGAGCTAGGCTCGGTGCCCAGGAGCCCACACTCCCACCCCTGGCCTTACCCCAGGATCAGCAGCGCGCTCTGCAGCCGTCTCCGCACCTCCAGGAACACGCGCGTCTCTGCCGGCGGGGCCATGGCGGGCGCCCAGACGGAGGTCCCAGCCAAGCCGCCACCGGGGCCAGAAGCGCCTCTGCACGTGCGGCTCAAACCCAAGCAGCCCCGGCGGCGGCGGCACGGGATTCCGGGATGGGCTCGCTCGGCTGAAACAGCCAGCCCGCCCACAGCGCCACCTGCCGGGCGGAGAGTGCGCTGCCTAGAGGACTCGATCTGGGGGGCGTGAGCGTTTTCAGAGCGGGTTTGGGGTCTGAGCATTGTGAAGGTGGGTGGGAGAGCCAGGTTGTCCTCCCACCCTGCTTCTTGTGGGTGTGACCTGATGCGTTAGTCTCCTTGGAAATGACCTTAAAAATCAGACGGGGCGTGCATTCCTTTGGCTAGAGTGGATAGGGATGTGAGGCTGGAAGAGAGGGAGTTCATACAGGCAGGCACAGTCCCCTGGAGGCCCAAGAGCAGAATTCTTCACCCCAAATACACTGTATTTTGTTTTTGTGTTTCGTTTTATTTTGTCTTGTTTTTATGGACTATGATTTCATTTTTATGATCTATGGGCGGGAGGTCCTTCAGTAGCTCTCCTCTCTCTGAGGCCACAGATGTCCAGGATTGACGTGACATTGCTTCTCAAGTTAAACACAGTTGCTCCAAGTTGCAAAAGTGTGAGAAGTTTTCTGTTCCCTATGCAGAATAGAGTGTATTAAAACCAGTAACATGAATCACAGGATTAATCATTCCTATAAGCTTTGAAAAAAGGAAGATGAGAATGATTCCATGTGTACATTTTCACTATTCACTTTTGTGGAAGTAAAAACTGACTCAGGGAAGTCCTAATCTTATTACTACCAGAAGATTGTTTTGGAAAGTTTGACACAGTAAAGAAAAGGATCTAGTATATTGTAAATACTTATAATGGAAAATGCTAAAATATAAGTCCATGGACGCATTATAAGAATTCTTTAAAAGAAAGAGACTGTTTTTTTAAAAACAGAAACAGTGAATGTTTGTATTCAGAAAATCTTATGTTTATTGATGTTCTACTTTATAATTTCAAGGTCATAATTACCACACACCAAACATTCATCTAGACATTTTCTGAGTAGATAATAAAACCCCTATCTTAGAGACACTAGTATAAGACAATATTTCTAAAATTGGTATTTGAGCCCTAGCTGGTTTGGCTAAGTGGATAGAGCATCAGCCTGGTTGGGGTGTGTGCAGGGGGCAACCAACCAATGTGTCTCTCACATTAATGTTTCTCTCTCTGTCTCTCCCTCTCCCTTCCACTCTTCCTAAAAATCAATAGAAAATTATCCTTGGGTGAGGATTAACTAAAATCAGTATTTGAAGTTTTAAAAGTTTATCATGTTGCATCACAAATTCCTGTATCCATCACAATGATTCAACAACACAGAATTAACTTTACTACTATTCCATCTCAGATAATGGTGATGAAGGGTGATGATTTCAACTCATATTTCTTTAATTCTCAAGGCTATGCTATTAAGTGCTTAAATAACATTCTTAGCATAGTATGCTCTTCATAATTGGTTTATTTTATTATTTTTTAAAATATATTTTTATTGATTTTAGAGAGTAAGGGAAAGGGAGAGAGAGAGAGAGAAACATCAATGATGAGAGTGAATCATTGGCTGCCTCCTGCACGCCCCACACTGGGGATCAAGCCTGCACTCTGGATATATGCCCTGACAGGGAATCGAACCCATGACCTTCTGGTTCAAAGGTCGACGCTCAACCACTGAGCCATGCAGGCGGGCGATTTTGATTATTTTTAAATATTTTTATATTTTTACATTGGTGAAAAAGAAATTATTTTTTTGACCCTATGATTTAGGCAAAACAGTGCAATCCTCCTTGCAATAACTACGTGATTTAGAGAGTTCTAGGCTCAAACAGTCCAAAGCTGATAACTATTGGAATTTCCTAAATCTTCTAATCTCTCTGGGCCTCAAGGTCTGCCTAAGAAATACAAAGGAATTATTTAAATTATATTTAAACACTTATTTAAATATTACTTATGTAAAAGCTGTTTTCAACTCCTAGCATCCCTTCAAACTCTCAGGATTGGCTGGCGCTGGAGAGTTAAAAACACCTGCTATAAACCCCTTTGCAGGCCCACTTCCGCCGTTGGTGGCCCTGGACCGCTTCCCTGACACTCCGCTTGAGGGCGCTGTGGCGACAGCTGGCGCCCAGCACGGGGAACGGACCAGGGGGTGGATATAGAGCTCGTCGACGTCGACGCCGGCGTGGGCGTGGGCGCAGCGCGGTGCACGCTGGGAGCTGTCACCAAGCCCTTCGGCTTTCGGCCTCCGTGTAGCTGCCGCGGTTGCCAGGAGAGCGGCGCTGGCGGCAGCGGCGGAGCCCACAGCAGGTAACCGTGTCCCCGCCCCCGTAGCGGTCACGAGGCCGGCCGCTGGCTCTGAGCGGCTTCCTCGGCCTGCCTCGTTCCGGAGCCGCGGGGACATGCCGGGTCAGGCTGCTGTGGCGTCGGGGGCGATGCCGCCCTGGCGCCGCATGAAGCCGCGCAGCCGGGCGGCTGTCCTCTGGTTTCCGGGGAAGCGGAGCTGCGCGGGGACCGGCGGGCTGGGGCGGGGCGGAGGCGCGAGGGCGGCCGCAGGTGTCCGGTGGCGGATCCCCAGCCGCCCGCGCTGGGGCCGGCCGGGCGCCAGGTTGGAGTGGAGGTCGCACCTGGGCGAGGAAGGCGCGCGGGGGAACCCTTTGTTGGCGGCACCAAGGCCTCGTGCAGCCTCACTAGTGTGTGCGATCGTTCTGATATTGTGACAGCAGTGAATGCCACCCCCGGTGCATGGCCCACGCGAGGGGTCGGAAAGGAGTGCCCAAGTCGATGAGAGGAAGTCAGATTAGTCCTAAGGAAGTTGTTAATGATCACCTTTGATTCCGAGGCTTTTAAAGTTGCTGCATAAACTACAGTTACCTGTTCAGCCTTCTCCATTCTTCTACCCTGCGGAGGAAAAGAGTGGCACACAACTATGCATTTTTTTTAACACTATAAGAACTCTTTTTTTTTTAAGAGATTACATTTTTAATATGTTTCAGAGAGGAAGGGAGAGGGGGAGAGAGAGAGATGGAAACATCAGTGAGAGAGAATCACTGATTTGGCTGCCTGCTGCACGCCCCCTGTGGGGACCTAGCGCGCAACCCAGGCGTGTGCCCTTGAGGGAAATCGAAACCGAGACCCTTCAGTCCGCAGGCCGACGCTCTACCCACTGAGCCAAACCGGCTAGGGCAACTGTACTTTTTTAAAGCTACGTAAATTGTGTTTTGATTAATCTTACACTTCTATGGAGTTTGAGAAACATAAAGATGAGGGGGAAATTGATTTGGAGGTTGTAGTTAAAGCAATCAAGACTTTTTAATAATTACAAAAAGAGGAAGATGCCTGATACAAAAGCCTTGAACTATAGAAAAAACCCCCTCTCCTTTTCGTTGTTATTGGCTATCTTCTATGCAGACATACATAGATCTTCATTTTACTGTGAATAACATGTCAGCATTAGGTGCTAAGTAACTCACCTGATAAACAACACAATGATTTAGTTGAGCTGACAAGTTATAACAAGAGTAAACTAACACCAGTTGTAGTACACGTGCTTTATTTTCAGTGATTACTTTCAGCTGCCGCTCTGAACTACATAATTCTCCAGTATTGCTAAATAATAGCAAATATCCAGGTGGACATGATTATCAGGAACTGAAGTCTTGAAGGAAGAATTAAAAACACCTAAGTTAATACACAAACCAGAAAATGTGATAGCACAACCAAAATGTTGCATGTAAATTAAATGTTGTTAATTAAATGTTTAACGATATATATAAAGGCAAAGGAGTCCTATTCACCTCCTAAGTTCTTTGTTCTGCTAACCTGGAATGAGCTCTCTGGGCCTCAGTTTTGTCATCTGTTTAAGGGAATTTCGTAAGTTTAGAGTTTTTCAAACTGATGTTTCACCCTGAACAATGTTCTGAATTCAGTAACAGGCTTACTGCCCCAAAAGAGTGTTCCATGGCAAATGATTTGGAAGCACATTGGGTTTAATCAGGAGTTTAACTTTTGATTTGCTTTTACCTGCAGGACTTCTCAAAACCTTTACTACTATTCTTATATGCATGTAAATCCTCAAGGGAACGTTATCAAAGCGTTTCCTAAACCGACCAGGGCAGAGAGCCTATTTCCTCATAGCTAACCTGTTAATATCTAGAATATACAGCAGGTCCTAGAATAACATTTCCTTCAGTGTTGTTTCCTTGTATCATTCCTGTAGGAACTTGTTTATGCCAGTCAACTTATGGTAAAACTGGTTTCCTTATGTCATTTCACCTCAGTTTCAAGAACTGACTTATTGTAAGTAGGATACCAATTTCGAAAGTATAGCACTTGACTTGAGTCCCCTTTCAACTCTGAAATTCCCCACATGGCTTCCATGTTAAGTTTTCTGGAGCATGCAGATCTAGTGGCATGCAGATCTAGAACCAGTAAAATATTAAGGATACACACAGGTTTCTATGGACCCAATGCCTTAACTTATAGCAGAAGAGTATCTTCTTTTTCTGGTCTGTTGATGCTTTTCAATAGCATAATTATTTCAGGTTTTGAATTTGATTGTTATGGGCAAGTTATGATTTTATTAAGAATGATATTATAAAGTTCCAACAGGTAAAGACTTATTAATCATGGTGTTATTTTTACTGTGAATGATTTCCCTCTCTAGTCATGAATTCTTCAACTGTGAAATGTATAAAAGCCACTTGAAATGTACTTAATAATTGATTACTGAAAATAATTAAAGATTAAAACGTAAATTCTAAGGCAGTTTCTAAATTGCTTACTGTCAGGATCTACATGTTTAATACAACCTTACATAATTTTGCTAAATTCTGTCAGGTGTCACTAGCGCAGAACCAGTGTGGCTACTTCTTTCTGTTCTTTCTTACCTTGTTAGGGGTGAGTGCTGTTAATGAACTCCTTTGTTTGGGAGGGATAACACATTTAATTTTAATAGGTAAGCCTTAATTCAGATGCGTTCTCTCCCTGAAATGAAACTATTATGTAGAAGCATAGAGCTATTTTTTTCGGTTATAGCTAAAATATTTA